CCCCATCACAAGCCAGCAAAACATCCACGAAACAAAGAAAGGTCTGTATATATATATATATATATATATATATATATATATATATATATATATATATATATATTCACGAAAATATATATATCAGGCGTTCGGGACGGGCCGAACGCCCAAACCCGAACGCCCGAACGTACGGGACCCCTTCGGGAGGCGTTCGGCCGTTCGGGCTGAACGTGGACCAAAAAAAAAAGAAAAAAAAAAAAAAGAAAAAAAAATCCAAAAATTCCAAAAAAAAACTATGTTAGGGAGACAAATAAACTAAACGACATTTGCACGGGCACTACATCCAAATTCTTTACCAAATTTGAATTAAAAATCCGATACAGAAAATAAACACTATGATAAAAATAAGAAAAAATAAAAAGAGAATTAAACTGAGTGAGTGTGCCAGCACCTTTTCGACACTGCCATATTTGCCGATTTTTAATTATGTTTTGCCATTGACGAATGGACTGAAAATTTACAGATATGTATTTTACATGATCAATAACTCATTAAAAAGTTTTCAAAAAATAATAAAATTGTTTAGGCCCCGAAATAAAGTGAAAACAAAAAGTTAAAAGAGAAAAAAAACAAAATAGTGCGTGGGCGAGCACGTTTTGACACCCCCATCCTTGACGATTTTTAATGTTTTTTTGGCTGAGCAGAATGGCTTCAAAATTTATAGGCGTGTAGGTTACATCAAAGAGAACTCACAAAAACAAATTCAGAGAAAAAAACTTATCTTTAAGCCCCGAATCGTTTTTTGGCGGGGGCCGAACCTGGAGGTGTTCGGCCCCCGAACGGGACCCCGAACGCCCGAACGTTCGGGGGCGAACCCGGGGCCCACCGAACGTTCGGTCAGGTAACCGCCGCCGTCTGTCCTGTAGGGTGTCCAACATTTCCTCATTGTACACATCCCTATCACCCAGATATACGTTGTCCCTATTGTGCCCAAGGACGCTATCAGAACTGTATGATGCCGCACTGTGATGAATGTCCTGCCGTGTTTTTGACATGTGGACAACACGTCCTCTGTCAGGACTGTTTTGATAGGATGGTTCGTGCTAGCCGTCCTGCAGAATGCTGTGCTGGCGCAGCTCTCCTTGGGCATCCTTGTGANCCATGAACTCTATTAGTATGACCGGCTCCGTTCACAGACCCCGTTAACGGTGAACGGGGGTACGGCACTGGACAGACAGACAGACAGACAGACAGACAGAGAGAGAGAGACAGAGAGAGAGAGAGACACAGAGAGAGAGAGAGAGACACAGAGAGAGAGAGAGAGACAGACAGAGACAGACAGACAGACAGACAGACAGACAGATGGCGTTGTCTTCTCTTTCATCAAGAGGACCCTCCCCTGATATTCTGGTGTACGATCCAAGGCCACAAAAGGCCGTCAAACGTTGAATTCAATTGTCGCCTTGATGGCTCTCCACATTCAATCGTCGCCTAGACGGCTCTCCACAACTGTCAGAGTCGGCTATGGTGGTTATGGCACTGTTTCCATCTCTGCTGTGGTGTTTTTCACCAGCTTCTTCAATTTGTATTCTTTCCATTGGCTTCATCCCTCAGCGCAGAGCGCAGCCCGTACACAATCAGCAGATTTGTGACAGTTAACAAGGACTCAGCGCTCCCATGAAGCCAGTCGACGTTGGATAGCGATGTGCCGTAGTGGACCTTTGCTGCCCGATGATTAACCCGCATATACAGTCGTCGCATTGCCAAAAAAGAAAAGTACCGAAGGAAAGACAAGGAGATTCAGAGAACAACACCGCAAATGAAATCCCAGACATCAACCGGTTCTTTAATTGCAGAATAATTATGTTGCAAAGGAAAAGAAAGAAGAAGGAGGAGACGACAAGGAGGAAGAGGAGGCAGCGGCGGAAGAGGGGGAGGAGGAGGAGGAGGAGGAGGAGGAGGAGGAGAACAGGAGGACGGAGTAGCGGGAGCAGAAGAAGGGGAAGAAGAAGAAGGAAGAGGGGAGACGAAGAGGAAGGAAAAGCAGGAGGAGCAGACGAAGAAGGAAGAGGAGGGGGAGCAGCAGCAGGAAGAGAAGATGACAAAGTCGAAGACGAAGAAGGAAAAGGAGGAGGAGGAGGAAGGAGGAGGAGAAGGGAGAGGAAGAAGAAATAGAATCGTCTTTCACATCTAGCGACATGAGAACCATACATCTGTGATGAGTATTACAGTGAACCAGCTGCGAAGACGCACACACAGACACCACACACACACACACACACACACACACACACACACACACACACACACACACAGAGAGAGAGAGTGCGTGTGTGTGTGTGTGTGAGAGAGAGAGAGAGAGTGCGTGTGTGTGTGTGTGTGAGAGAGAGAGAGAGAGTGCGTGTGTGTGTGTGTGTGTGTGTGAGAGAGAGAGAGAGAGAGTGTGTGTGTGTGTGTGTGTGTGTGTGAGAGAGAGAGAGAGAGAG